AATCAATTCTCCTCGCTTGCTCGCTCGCGCGGCTCATCTCTCTCGCCGGATTCTACCTTAATCAATTCTCCTCGCTTGCTCGCTCGCGCGGCTCATCTCTCTCGCCGGATTCTACCTTCGTCAAGATAGACGAGCGCGCGCAGGGGGTCCAAGTCCCTTTAAGCCGAACCAACACGCGCACGGCGAGCCAGTTGGCCATCCAGCCAGCCACCCTCCTGAACACCCGTCTACACGACAATCAAACAAATGGGGACCTCACTAGACCCTGAAATCTGACCTCTGCCCCTGAGAGCCATCTCCCCGCGCTCAAACGCGCGTTGACTCTTGTTTTGATCGACAGCTCACAATTGGGAGCCTGCGCGCGTGGATCGCCGCCAATCAAAGGTCCCGCGCCCCGGGATCTTCGGGGCCCACCCCCGCCAATCAGAGGCGCCGGCCCCCGGACCTCTGAGTTAGCTGGATCACCCAGCCCAAACTACTTGCTGAAGACGACCCTTCGGGCAGGGCGGTCACCTGACTGGATTAGGGCTTCCCCCTCCCGCCAGGCTGCCTCCCTGCGCTGGGTCAGGCTACTCGTGGACTTTGCTCCAGCATCACTTACTATCACATATTTTGATTACATACTATCTCATACTTTCCACTGAGGCCCAGCTGTCTTGATTAGATATCATGGCCCAGTGGCCGGCCCTAGCGGCCGGTGACGACTCATCCATTGCTGATCATTCCTTTCGTTTCATGGTGCACTGTACGGATGTCATCAAGTTCACTCAGGCTCACCCCGGCAAGTCAGCCAAGGCCCCCTGGGTCGAGGGCTTCGCTCAGCAAGCCCTCACCCTGGTCAGGAAGCTGCTGGATAGCCGATTCCGCGATGCCGTAGCCGGTGACCACGGCACGAACGGTGCGGACGCTGGTGAGCACGGCTCGGCCACCTCCTCTTCCATGACTCCTGGGGCCCGAGGGGTCCTTGGCTGGACCCAGCAGGTGCCGAGCAATCCATCTTCCCCGCCCAACCATCATAATCTTCCTTCCTCTCCCCCAGCTGCACCCCCCCGCAGTGACGAGAACCGCATTCGGATCCGGTGGCGCGGACACGCGCCTGGGTCTAGCCCGTACAAGCGAACTGCCGTGACAGCTATCGTGGGCGAGATCCAGGAGATTCTCCGCCGCAGTGAGCACCCCGGCCTGGCCAGCGTGCAGGTGGCAGGGGCTCAGGTCCTTCGTAGCGGTGATCTAGATGTTTACACCCATTCTGCGTCAGATCGGGAGCGTCTCCTTTGGAATGAAGAGGCATGGCTCCGGGAACTCCCTAAGGGCGAGCATGCCTACATCACCAATCACCAGTATGCTGTCCTTGTCCACCACGTCCCTATCACTTACCTCCCCTCCCTGAGCGCGGTGGAGGCCCTCCGGGAGAAGATCCTACACTGCAACCCAGCTCTCCGCAGCCCCATATTGCATGTGGGCTGGTGCGGGCATGACGCCGCGGCCCGGCAGTGTAAGCAGAAGTCTTCCCTGGTGGTCTCCTTCCGGGATGCGCAGTCGGCAAACCATGCCATCCAGCACCGAATCTTCCTGGATGGCACCCCGCTGCGTACAGAACTATTCGACCCGCTCTGCCGGCTCCTACAGTGCACCCGATGTCTAAATTATGGACACGCCCAGCCCGTTTGCATAGCTGAAAGAGTTACATGTCTGTATTGCGCTAACGCCCACGACAAGAAGTACTGTAAGGTCAAGGGGGTCCTATCCCAACACCGCTGCGCCGTCTGCCATGGCCCCCACCAAGCCGACAGTAAGCAGTGTCCCGTACGCCAACATGAGCACCGAATATCTCAAGAACGAATGCGAAACCGACCCCGATTCTTCGCCAGCCCGCCCCAGCCTGCCGAACCAGCCCAGCCTACCAACCCGGCCCCGAACGCCAGACCGGCCCAGCCACCTGCGCCACCTCACGACGCAGCTGACACGGGGCCTGAACGGACCGAAACGATCGGCAAGCCATCACCGAATCCAGAAAGCACGCGTCAACTGGCCGGCCAATCATCACCATCGCCAGTCGACGCGTTTAAAACAACATGCCCTTCCGCAAAGACCACCACCATCCACCCGATAATCGATGTCAGCCGCCATCCATCTCTACGGCTGCAGCCCACCCACTCCATGCAGACTCGCTCCCGGAGCACGTCACCGAAACGACCCTGGAAAGCAACCGCACCGGACCCCGAACCTAGACCCGCAGCGGAGGAACCAGCACATCCGCCGCTGCCCACCTGGGATACAGACTTCCACATACCGGTGCCAATACCGCCGCAGACGACGGGCACCAGCACCCCCGAACGAACAGCTGATTCGGCCTCCCCGCCCCCGTCCCTGCTCTCCAACCCGGCCCGACGCGTCCCCGGACTTTCCTCCCGAATATCGAACACGTCAAGCCTCTCAGTCATCTCCCGCACGCCTACCCTCCCAAGCGACCTCACCTGGGAGGTCCCTGAGCTGCCGGGGCCGAAGCGCAAGCGTGGCTGTAGCCGGGGCCGCCGGCCCGTCACCAGCAGCCCGGATCCGCTTGCTACCCCCATATCGAAACGCCGAAAGATATCCACCAAGACATACGACACGGAAGACGATAATACTACTCAGGCCTCTGCCTCTGCGCCACAAGGCCTGCCCACACCACTCACCGGCCCGAGCCTGCCCACCAGGCCGGCCCTGACACCCGAGGCACCGAGCCGAGGGGACCCTGACTACCCCCTCCCGCCACGGCCCCGGTTCGCGAGACCAGGGCCTCCAGCGTCAACCACTGGCACCAGCTCATCCAAAATATCCAAAATATCCAATACATCAAACATATCCAGCACATCAAACATATCCAGCACATCAAACATATCCAGCACATCAAACATATCCAGCTCAGCATCCAGCTCAGCACCCACCTCGGCATCTACCTCAGCGAGCAGCGTCTCGCTACCCCCGTTCGACCCCGAAACACTGACGCCTTCGGCATACCGCACGGCGCCCTTCCCCCTGACGTCCGACCCTGACCCGGCCCTGAACTCAGACGAAGCTGAATATGACGACCTCGCGTACAAGAAGGCTGAAACGGGAAGCACTTGGGGCGGCTCGAGCGCGTGTGACAGCAGTATTTGCGCAGAGGAGGGCTGCCGGCACATGGCCACCAGTGGCTATGGCTGGTAGTCCCCCATCAAGCCCAGTCACCCCCGCCACCATAGCCGGAACAGAAGCCGAAACAGAAATCAGGATAGGCGCCGGCGTTGGCCTAGCACCCCGAGATGACCGCACCATCCGAATTCTCCAGTACAATGTTCAAAATTCGCTGGATATCGGCATGGCACCTCTCCTTCGGGACCCCCGGCTTCGCGACTACGCGGTTGTCGCAATCCAGGAGCCATGGGTCAACACACACGGGGACTCTCCCCTGACGCACTTCCCCCAAGAGACTGCCGACCACTTCCATATTGTATGGCCGGCTGGAGGCCAGGGACCACCCCGCGTCTGCACATATGTCCGGAAGACTCTGCGCTGGCAGGTTACTTTCATCTCTGCACACGTCATATCAACAGCTATCCAGCCAACGCTGGGCAAACCATGGATTGTGGTCCATAACATCTATAACCCGCCGCAGACGACGGCGAACGAGGGGGTAACAGACCTCATCCAGGCCCTGGAGGCCGCAGATCGGCAGCAGCAGGCCTCTGGTGAACCAGCGGAGCATGTGGTAGTTGGCGTTTTCAACACCCATGACAGTCTCTGGGCTGGCGAGACACGCCGGCTTCCCCAGGCCCAGCACAATCCCCCCCGTGCAGAAGCTCTGAAGCAGATTATCGAGCGGCGCCCACTAGTGCTGGTCACCCCAGCGGGCCTCATCACCCGGCCTACCCCCATCCCCGCGCGCGGCCTTGACCAAACTGAGCCAGGAGACGCCGGCCCGGGGACCCTCTCAGCAGAGGAGAGGGCCGCCGGTTCAACAATTGACCTGGCCTTTGTTTCCTGGGACCTAGCAGATCACGTCACCCACGTTCGGGAAGCCAACGTGGACGGTGACTCAGACCATCTCCCGATTGAGACAGAACTGGATGCCACCTTCGAGCCGGAACCACCGAAACAGCGCCGGAACTGGGCCGCCATGGATCCCCAGAGGCTAGCCGCGACCCTTACCGCGCACCTCCCCCCTTCCCTCCCTGTCGACGCAAGGGAAGAGGACGTCGACCAGTTCGTCAGCCGGCTGGTCAACGCGATCGGCACCGCGGTCGACGCCGCAGTTCCCTGGCTCCGCCCATCTCAGCACTCCCGCCCCGGCTTCACCCCAGAATGCCGTTCCCTGCTCCGAGATAAGAAGCGCCTCCGGCGGGCCATCTCCGCTTACCGAAGCAAGCACCGCTGCGAGGCCCCTCTGCCCCTGCGGGCCCAGCTGATTCGGGCCACCCGGGCCTGCAAACGCGCCGTCCAGCGGTGCCGACGCGATACCTTTCGGCAACAGATCACTGACATCGCGGATATGGACGACGTCTGGCGCGCCGTCCGCTGGACAAAGAACCGGGGCCCCTACCAGGCTTACACCCCACCTCTTTGGGACCCTCGTACTGGCTTGGTTGCCTACGGGGCTAAGGAGAAGGCAGATCTCCTGGCCCGCCAGTTCTTCCCATCGCCCCCGCAGGCCAACCTGGATGACCTCCGGGGGTATGACTACCCCGACCCGATCAGCGTGCCAGAGTTTGGGGAACATGAGGTCCTTAGCACCCTCCACTCAGTCAAAGCCGACAAGGCCCCTGGCCCAGACGGAATCACCAATCGGGTGCTGCAGGCAGTTAGTCACGTGCTGGTTCCGGGCCTGACAGGTCTGTACAACCAGTGTGTCCGGCTCAGCTACTGCCCAGAACACTTCCGGGATGCCGCCACTGTCGCCCTCCGGAAGCCTGGCAAGCCAGATTACTCAGTGCCGAAGGCATACCGACCCATTGCCCTTCTCAACACACTGAGTAAGCTGTTTGAGGCCCTGATTGCTGCCCGGATAAGCTACCTAGCCGAGGCCCACGGGCTGCTTCCAGAGAACCATTTTGGGGGCCGTAAGGGCCAGGGCACAGAAAACGCCCTTCACACTGCTCTGGAAGCCATCCATTCAGGCTGGAAGAATGGTAAGATTGTCTCAGCCCTTCTGCTTGACATCTCCGGGGCCTTTGACAATGTCTCCCACGACCGGCTTCTACACAACCTCCGCGCACGTCGGATACCGCAGGCCTACGTCACCTGGCTCGGTAGCTTCCTTCAGGGCCGGTCCACCTCGCTGGTGCTGCCCGAATATACTATGCCGACCCGATGGGTGGAGACCGGCATCCCGCAGGGCTCCCCCTTGTCACCCATTCTCTACATCTTCTACAATGCCGACTTGATGAGCCGGGGGGACCCCGAATGGGGCACAGACAATATCGGCTATATCGATGATACGACGATGCTTGCGACCGGCGACAGCGAACGTGCCAACTGTCAACGGCTACGGGAGCACTATCGTCGAGGATGCCTCCGCTGGGCCGCCACCCATGCTTCCCGATTCGAACCCTCCAAATTCCAGCTCATTCACTTCCACCCCCCAGGCCCGACGAGCAACCCTGGCGAACCGCTGGACCTCGGCGATGGGCAGGTCGTCGAGGCCAGCGCGACGGCCCGGCTCCTCGGGGTCATTCTTGATCAACACCTTACCTTTGAGGCGCACCTCAACCATCTTGACACGGCGGCGACCCGGCGTCTGCAGGCAATCAGCGCGCTTGGGGGCTCCAAATGGGGCCTGCGGCTCCGGGAGCTTCGGCATGTCTACACAGCCTGCATCACCCCAATCATGCTATACGCTGCCTCGGTATGGTATGCGCCGCCGGTTCGGGGCCGAAAGCGCTTCCATAGCCAGCAAACAAAGGTGTTGAATCGAATCCAGCGTCGGGCCGGGAAGCTGATCGCAGGGGCCTTCCGAACAGTCAGTGGGGCCGCGTTTGATGCCGAACTGCACCTTACCCCGATGCCATTACTCCTTCGACAGCGCCGTATCCAGACCCTTATCCGAATCGCTACCACCCCGGCCTACCGAATGCACATCCTGGACCGCCGCCGCCGGCACCACCGGAACCCCCTGTTGCACTCACCACTGGAGGCTGCGGAAGAAGAAGTCGAATTAGCAACTGGGGTTGACCCTAGGGAACTGGAGACACGATTACCATGGGCTGTCCCCCCCTGGTGGGAGCCGCCAGAGGTGGTGATTGAGGTGACGAAGGAGCGGTCAATGATTCACCACAACATTCACTGCATTGCCTACCCTGAGGCCATTCGGATCTACACTGATGGTTCCGGCATCCGCGGGCGTGTGGGCACCGCCGCAGTATGCCTGGACCCCCCTATCTGCCGTCAACGTTACCTGGGGACAGACGTCGAACACACGGTGCCGGTTGCGGAGATTACGGGGTTGGTGCTGGCCCTGCGGCTCATTAAGCAAGATCTGGTGCCACGTGACGCCTGGGCCGCGGCGCGGGCAGCGTCGGCTGGGACGGCTCCCCACGGCCAACGGAAACGGGCCGAGATATATTCCGACAACCAGGGCGCGCTGCGCACGCTGCTCGCCCCGAAGCAGGCTTCCGGTCAATATCTGGTTCGGGAGCTGGTGAACCTGCTTGACCAGCTTAATCCAGTGCTTGATATCTCCTTCCATTGGTTAGCAGCGCACCGTGGGGTTGCTGGTAATGAGCTTGCAGATCGCAAGGCAAAGGAGGCTGCAGGCTGGCGCCCAGGCAATGGGAAGGGTGGGCTGGCGCCAGTCATGATGCCGGACTACCCTACGCGTGGGCCTCTGGACGCCTGGATTAAGCAACACACCAAAGAGCAGTGGGAGGAGGCCTGGCAGCAGTCTGAGCATGGCAGACACCTCCAGCGCTACCTCCCTGAGATCTCCCATCGTTCGGTCACTATCTACGATGATCTTACCCCGGTTGAACGCAGCGTGGTGGCGCAGATGCGGACCGGGAAGATTGGGCTGAACCACTATCTCTCAACCATCAACCGGGCTGACGACCCTCTCTGCCCGTGCGGACGGGCCCCGGAGACGACCCACCATGTGCTATTCAGCTGCACCCGATATGACGACATTCGGCAGGCGACGTGGGCCGGCACGGAAGGGACCCCCCGAGACCTAAGAGAGGCCTTGACGGAGAAGCGGTACGTTCGACGGGCCGCGCGGTTCATGCTGAACACCGGCCGGTTGACGTATCTGGCGGAGGCCACTGAGCCGGCATGGCTCGAGCCGATTGCCCCCAGCAGCGAACGACTACTGACAGCCCCAGCAGGCGATGGCTGACAGACCGTTATCACATATTATCGCATACTACCAGTCACTCCCATCGGTGCAGTGTTGCCGCCCACGGCCCCGGCCTGCGCGTCTGCGTGGCACCGGCTTGCCGACCCGGCACCGTTCGGTGGCAGCACCCCCGGAACCCTCGCAGGCCTGGGAATCTGCGGCATTCCGAACGGGTTGGCGGCTATCTACAAGAGGTGGAACGGGCATGTACGGGCACCTAGGCAGGTGTGAGGGCATACACGGGAATGTGGGGTAGCCGGTGATTTCGGCCTGGCTGAGATGGTTCAACGACTACGGGTAGCAGCACTCACTGATTTCGGCCCCGGCCGAAGCAGGCCAACGTGGGGATCCACGAGGGAATCTATGAGGGAATTTACGGTGGTTCGGCCTAGCCTAGGTGCCGAATATATATAAAATGTACGCTGGCGGCGTCAGCCTGCAAAGGCGGCTGTTAGTCAGATAGTCGCTGCTCGCTAGGAGCCTCCGGCATGGCCCAGCCCGGTGCCGCAACGGAGTAAGGAATCAATCAATCAATCAATCAATCAATCAATCAATCAATCAATCAATCAAACTGCCGATTAAGGATACCGCAGGCAACCTCTCATTACGGATAGAGCGAACGCGTAATCAGAAGCTGACTCTGGGCGTTACACCATTCAACCACACAATATCCTCATGATTCAGGTGCTGTTCTATACCAGAGCCACATTGGAAACAAGACGGGGGGCATGGTTCTCCTGGAGGGATGTATTACTACCATGCATCATAGTACTCGTGAACAAGTGTTGCTTGTGGACTAAGGGCACGGCTCGAATGATCAGCCACGTACACAGGATGTTTCGTTGGCTGTGGGCTCGTGAGGTGATGAGCACTTCTGCGAGAGCTCTTTTGTTTGCCTCGAGCACGAGATGTACCATGTAGAGTCAGGAACAATGTATTGGACGACTTCATTATGCTTGATGTCATTGCCGTAAGCCGCTCAGCATCCTCCACGTCGGCTTACAAGATGACGTCTCCGCTGGATAGTACCCAGCCCGGCAAGGGCTTCAGATGGCGGTCATGACGTTGTGGGTCTCACAAATCGTGCGTTGAAATCCCAATAAGCTTGTGCTCATCACGGTGGTAGTACTGACCACGAGTCGACCAGCATATCGAATACAGAGTTCGAGGTCGCTGCGTTTGGAATTTGGCGATTAACCTATTTCTCCTGGATGGCACTGACTGCGCAATTAGACGGCCGGTCCAATGTCGTACCTGCGAGGAGCAATTTCCATCGAATAGGCCATTGCATGATCATATACAGTTCTTTTTCCTAAGGGTCAGTCACTCCTTGACGTCTTGATCAAGGATGGGCCAAGCAGTATGGAGATTTGAACCTACCGACATTGTGTTGATGGTTTTGCATTCAATCGTAGTCAGGTGTACCCTACACATTGTACGCGCAAGACCTCAACAGTGTAAGCATCGAACATATATTAAGACTGCGGCAGCCACAGGACACGCACGAACGAACGTACGAGGGGCGTTATTGCACAGACTGAGCGTACTTTGACTACTCAGTCAGTCATGGGGCGTTTGACCAAAGATCTACACTGCTATTTATACGTTCGTCTGATAGTCATGCGAATAGGAAGTCATTGCGATGTTGTCCGATTATCGACAGCGGACTACGAAGAACAACTGCCACAGGTCGTGTTCGATTTTTCAGCAATACCATCGTCGAACACACTCACTACGCATGGAAGGTGGATATCGAACTTGGCTGTCTTTTGCTCAATAATCGAGTTTGCATGTCGACTGGACGAAAAAGAGGACTGTCCTCCGACCTCGAGCCTTCCATCAGCGCTATGAGCCACGAGGTGACCATTACGGTCATATTAGCCTTATGTTCAATACTATGTCTACTTCTATGTCTCTGGTGCAGTTTTGAACGAGGTGAAGGGTATTTCTTCGGAGAGGTAGGTGGACGAGCTGGAGATGACTGCACAGTCTGCACTCGGACTCCCGAAAAGCTTCATGTGAGCGCCAGTGCTATCACAGTGTATATCAAAGGCATCGAAACAGCTTCAGAATGATCCAAAGACAGCAATTCTAATGATTACTCCGAGAGGATTCCTAAATGTAACGGAGTATGTGATTTGGGTTCTTGAATTGAAGGTCTGCGAATCTGACGCCTGTGGCTTGAGCACTGTGTGGCGCATCTGAGTGTGGCTTCACGTCGCCAGCCCCGTCCGTCCCGTGATCTCCCAGCCTCTTGAGCACAGCACAGCCACCTACGTCTCTCGCCACAGACCTCCTCTGCTTTCAAGTGCTGCGGTAGAGCCCAGTGCGACCGTGTGCCGCGACCGAAGACAAGTCATGTGATCACTGCCTGCTCTCCTTGGTCTCAGAGTCAGAGCTCCCTCCATCGAACCCAATTGTACGACGAGAACCGAGTCTCGGTGGACGGATGATGTGGATATACAATAATATATGCTACAGATTCACCATGAAACAGTCATACGTCGTACGTCGTAACTCCTAGTCTTTGCTCAATTTATTCTTGTTTGCGAGGGTCGGAAGTCCTCCGCAGCTGTAACACGACCGCTAAACAAGCGTTTCGTTTGCCTGTTACCTTGCACCAGTATCTGGCTACCAGCATAGATTCTTTAGATTGGAATGGCCCTTGTCTCTTGTCTTCTTTATCGCAGCTTGCCGACCGTGGAGATCTGCCAAGGCGATGGTTGAGCAGGAAGCGGAGGTCGACGAAAAATACTCGGCGGCTGATTGGAGATCATCGAATGGCCAAGATTCAACGTGAGGGACCTTGTGAGCGCTATCACAATCTCGAAATGCGCAGTAGACATTCAAAATGCTTCATCCCGCGCGGATTGTTCTTCAGGAGTGTCAGGGACGATGGCAATGACTGGAAAAAGCACGGCGTTGGTGCAGTCGATCCGCGCCTCGGCCCTCGACGACTCTCAACGGTCGCTCGAATTCACCAATGACGAACATTCGCTAACGTTTTGGGTTGCACTGCGACAACACTGGCCTGCAGTGACTTGGGGATTGTTTATGAATCTGGTACGTGAAGGAACTGGGACATTCGTGCCATTAGGACGCTCATGCTGACCCCGACAGGCGACTGTGCTCAAGGGTATTGTAAGTATCCCGTCAATCGTGTTTAGAATCCCATCTGACCTCTTAGGACGGAGGTATCGTGCGCAGTATAGTCGGACTGGACGTCTTCAAGCGGACCTATGGCTACCAGCATGAAGGAAAATACATTATTGCCTCCCGGTGGCTGTCAGCCTTCAACTACGCCACGCTCCTCGGCGCCATCATAGGAGCTCTCCTGTCGGGATTGGCCTACGATCGTTTCGGTCCACGCGTGATGATCACCATCTGCTCATGCCTCTCCATCGGCTTCATCTTCGTCCAGTTCTTCAGCCACACACCCGCCCAACTGTTTGTGGGCGAGCTGGTGAACGGCAGCATCATCGCCTTCTACCCGATCTGCGCCTCCGCGTACGTCAGCGAGGTCACCCCGCTCGTGCTACGCGGGTTCGTCGCGACGATGACCAACCTTGCCTTCTCGATCGGCTCGCTCATTGCCTCGGGGATCCTCAAGGGCACAGCGGCTATGGACGCCACGTGGTCGTACAAGATCCCCATCGCAGCGCAGTGGGCCCTCCCGACGGTCATGCTGCTGCTGGTCACCTTCGTCCCCGACCCACCGTACTGGCTCTGCAAGCAAGGCCGGGACGACGCCGCGACCGTGTCGCTGCGTCGGCTGACCACCGCACCTGGGGCCGAGGTCCATGTGGCTCGCAAACTGGCGCATATCCGGGAGACGCTACGGCTGGAGGAAAGCTTCCAGGGCGACCGACCGACGTATCGGGAGTGTTGCCGGGGGCCGAATCTCCGCCGGCTGGTGATCTGCATGATGGCGTACAGTATGCAGGCGTTCACGGGGAATGTCTTTTTCATCAACTACGCCGTGCATTTCATGGAGGTGGCGGGGCTGGACGCCTCGCATGCGTTCTCGATGAACATTGGTCTGACGGCCATCGGGCTGGTCGGGACGTGCGTCTCGTGGTTTCTGCTGTCGTACATCGGCCGCCGGACAATGTACCTGTTCGGCTGTGCGTCGTTGATGGTCCTGCAGCTCGCCATCGGGGCGATCGATCTTGCTCCGCGCCGGACGAGTACGACCTGGGCGCAATGCGGACTTATGCTCGTCTGCAATTTCGTCTACGATCTGACGCTTGGTCCGTTCGGCTACGTGCTGCTGGCGGAAGTCTCGTCGGTGAAACTCCGGGGGCTGACCATCGCTTTAGCCACCGTCAGTTGCTACGTCTGGTCAATTGTCTTTGCGGTTGTCATTCCCTATGCCATGAACGAGGATGAGGGGAATTGGAAGGGCAAATTGGGGTTCCTCTTCGCAGGGACGAGCCTGTTGTGTACTATATACTGCTTTCTGTGTCTCCCGGAGACTAGAGGGAGGACCTTTGAGGAGCTGGATATCCTGTTCGAGAGGAGGGTTCCAAGTCGAAACTTCCCGGGCTACAAAATCGAAGTTCAAATACATTCGGAATAAGAACCTGACAACGCAGTTGCAACGAGTTTACATCTTCCTGAAAACGACAATGGTAAAAGAACAATGTAGCGCAGACACGAGAACTCTAGCAGTTTTGAAACAGCAACACAGGAGAACAGGCATTAGTCAAGGGAAATCAGACGACAGAGTCAAGGAGGGTAAGCCGAACAGGAATGCAGAAAGAACAGGCGAAAAGGCCGACCAACCCACCTCAATAGTATTACGGCACTTTTGCAATTTGAAAAAATTTGCGAAAAAGAAAGAAAACAGAAGAAAAGAACATAGGAAAGGAAAAAAGGAGATAGCCTTCGTCCTCCAGTATAATTGCGAAACCGCAACTCTTCAACCCAGCCCTGGCCTACGCGTCCGAATCAGAGCCCTCATCTCCCGAGGACGCGCAAGTCGACGAAGTGTCCGTCATGTACGACATAACCGAAGTCTCTGAACTCTCCGAATGGTGCGAAGGTTTGGAGGAGTCCGAAGAGACCGAGGTGTCCGAATCGCTCGGTGAATCCGACAACACCGATGAGTCGTCTTCATCCTTTACTCGCAAGTTATCTTGGCGTCTGAGGCGCCGCTCCAACACCTCTTTGCGGGCACGGAGCCCGAAAAGCAAGTCCTCAGTCTTTACAGATAACTCTCCCACGCGCAAGAGGTCCCTTTCCTTGAGAGGCTCGGTGGGCCCTCGCAGCGTTCGGTCTTCTATCTTCACACAAGAGGACTGCTTGGTGGCACGAGGAGATGACTGTACCACGACTGATACTTTGGTTCGTCGTCCTTTACGAGGCAGGGCTTCCGACTCGGCTTCGCGTTCACGCTGACGTTCACGTTCTCGTTGAACCCGCTCGAGTGCTTCCTGACGTTCCCGTTCTCGTTGAACCCGTTCGAGTGCTTCCTGACGTTCCCGTTCTCGTTTGATCCGTTCGAGTTCTTCCAGACGTTCCAGCTCTCGTTGAATTCGTCCGAGTTCCTTCTGAAGTTTCCTTTCTCGTTGAATCCGTAGGAGTTCTTCCTGCTTGATGACGGCAAACAGCCCGCCGCGCCGAACGATTCCCCTGGACTTCAATCAGCATGCGTACCACAAGATGAGTCGAAGGCAGTCCATTTACCTCGTCTTCGTTTTCTCAGGATCATCAACCCAGGCGCTTCCTCCGTTTGCCTCAAAGTTCACGCGCAAAGAGCACTCGGAAGGGCGCTTGTAATGAATACAATTCGAGCATGCATGAGTATAAAGTGCTTGATTTTTGTAAATCGGCGCCACCACGCACGACTGCCACACGCCTTTACCACGTCTGCAGCGTGAACAGGAGTCAGCCTCGGAAACCTTCTCTCCCCGCTCGTGCAGCAGCGCCGCTGATATTTGATGAGAGTCTTTGATAGGTGCTTTGACTGGCCTCCCGCGCGTGTCCGTCGACCAGTCCTTTTTGAAGTCACGGGTTATGTCAAGCAACTCGATTGCACATTGGTCTGCCTCCTTTTTCTTACATTTGCGCGCTTTCGTTAGGGCCGTGTCACGGTGCTTCTTACTACGCCTGCGAGTAGCAGTCATTTTTGCGAAGAAGCCAGAAGGAAAAGGACGAATTCGACGAGTGAAGATGAAATTCCGGGTAGAGACCGGAGGCAGACGAAGAGTAGGCGAGCGCAGCAGGGGACGAGGCCTAAGAGAGTTGCAGTGAATGCTTGGTTGGAAATCAAGAAGTCGATTCCCAGGGGGCTGAAGGGGACTATTTAACCTTGCGCGAGGAGGAGGGCAACAAAAGATCACGAAGTTGGTCTGAAGGATCCAACGTCGGAAACTGAGGGAAAGGGTCTGCTAGTGCTCTCATCCTGGTAAAATTGCTCGATCACATTTGCTTGTGGATGGCGGGAGGCTGGAACAGCGAAACAAGCCCGATCATTTCTCACATCATTCGATTTTTGCTGTTTGGAATTTGGACGGAACACATGCTGTCAAATTACCGCCCCTGCACTCTTCAGTCCGTGACCTTTTGGGGAAATTGCCGACCGTCATTGATGGAGCGTGCTTTGTACCTGCAGCGTGCGTGATCGAGCTTCGAGCTGGACGGAATAGGCGAATGATCAGACTCCCGACGACACACAGTTGGAGTCTCGAATTATCACGTCAAACTCTTTAGCCCAGTTCCTTGTAAAATTCTCTCGACCTGCCACTAGCTGATTGCCTACTATGGACCCACTGCTCGTTGCTTTTTGCACCCACATCAGCCCGACTGTATTCCTTCAACAGGGACCCCGGCGGTTTCACTTGCTGCTGACTGTAGCTTCATCTCCAACTGAAGTCCGATCGACACCACTATGCTCCGTACGAATATGTTTTCGAGTCGGCAATTAGGCCTGCGGAGTGTGGACACAGCGGGAAGACAATCCCCCAGATGGCCGAACGGCTCGGGCCGATGACAGGAGGATTCAGGAATAAAAGCCTGTGCAATTGTAGCTGGTGTTCCTACGCTTCCGAGTTCGTGAACAGTAATCCGTAGTCACCCTAAAGGTCTCCTCGACTGACTTCCTGCTGTTAACTCGAGACTTAAACGAATCCACATGGATTGAGACGAGACTCACAGCGACCCCTCTTCGTGCACCATTGGAAACGAGCCAAGCGACATCGATTGTGGAGAGATCAGCGAGGGACCCATTTGGCGGCGGAGGTCCAGACGTTCCCCGGAAGCTACAGAAGTTGACATATCTCGTTTTTCTTCCGGGGTGAGCTCCAGCCTCCGTCTCCTGACAAGGATCGTGCAAGGCGAAGGTGCACATGGAATTGCCTGTTGGCGACCCAGTTCAACTAAAAAAAAGACGTCGGATCGAAAAAGGTTACTGATGAAGGGTTGAATGTTCGCTGCAAAAGCATCTCAACCTCTAAGCACTGCAGCAATTGTAGAAGCCAGCTTGCTCCAAGATTCCAAGACAAACGACGGCATGAACAGTGTTTTCCTGCAGGATGCTTCTCCCCTAGTCCTGCACTTCCTGCTTCCCGGAAGACCCCACCCCGTTTTGACAGATCTATCATCTATCCCACGAAATAAAGTCGCACAATCCCTGAATCCTTCTTCTTCGATCATTCGTCCGATCTTTCATTGACTCAAGCTGATCTGCAGCAGAACTGTATTTTACCAAGCGCGCACGCGACGCGTTTAAGCGCGTTCCGTCACCTCTCTGGTTATCAGCTTCAGGATCACCAGACTTCTCCTCGTCACTGGGCCCTTTCCATGGCTGATTTTGCGGTTTCTGATACAAACTATCAATTCCCAACCTCCTCGATTTCCAAATATTCCCTGCAAAAGTCGGTGTGGCGTGACATTGTTCACCAACTTGTCTTCGAGGCCAATCGGGTTGACAGACATCTTCCGCGGTCGAGGCAGCCGGCGAGGCAATGGTCATCGCAGAGCGGTTTGATGGCGATCGAAAGCGACATCTGGATTTCACAAATTGAGTCGCCGATCACAATGTTGTATGTGTTGAAGTATCCCAAGCCTGGTGGACCGTAGCTGGAGTGGATGGATCATGACCAAGCTGTGCATTTTCCTTCCTGGCGACTTGATGACTTTTCCTTTCCTGCCATCAATCTGTCGCTGAGGACAAATTTCACCCTTCCGCTGGCACTTGGCAATCCTTTTCCTTCCCTCCTTTCCTCTTCGTCTTTTTATTCACCCTGATAGTCTGCGTGGGATTCTCGCCTCTTCGCCAATGTGTCTTTGCCCCGTCTCCTGTGTTGTGCCGTCCTGCACCTTGAAATATCTCCATCATTATATAGGCCCAAGCCCTCTTCGCTTCTCATGAATCTACGGCGTGTGATGAGCTTCGGCAACCTCTACTCCTCTGGGTGTTCCTTGTTTCCTTCCGGTTTGCATCCTGCCCACTGAGCCTCTGGGGAATCCTACAAATCTGCAATCAGGCCTCTCGTCGAATTTAGATTCTTTTTGTTCCAATCATCTCAGTGGCCTATCCTTTCCTCTCTTATATGCTGCTTGCTAATCTCCGTCTTGATACAGGCTCGCATCCGTCAACCCGTCCTTTCCACGAATTCCCATCGGTGATCCCTAGAACAGGTCGTTCCCACATCCTCCACTCGTCCATACTCTGTCAATTTTTTCGGTTGAGACCGTCGGATGGAATGACTGCAGCTCTCCAACACGATCATGGTCGAGTATGATGGGAGCGGGAGATCCTGTCCGAATGCATCCGCCATACAGGTGAAGCTAACGGGCGTGTAAAATGAAATGTCATAATCAGGACCTTGATCGATTGGCTAACAGTTACCCCTCAAGGTCGATTATGCGCTCAAATAGTTGGATCTGTGTCTCTTGGCGGAAGAAAATCTCCCCTCTCATCTCGGTATCCCAGGAATCCTCCTTGTAACATTCCCATTGTTCCCTGCATAACTCCAATTGCATCTCGTTCATTGTGCTGTCGGTATAGTCCACTGTGGTTAGATGCCACAATTCCTCGGCTTTTGCACGAAATGCAGTAGCTGTCAGGCTCGACAGAATATCTCTATCCGGGAGATCAATGTCATACATGGTAACATGGTATGTCCGAAACCCGTCTGCCTCTGTTTGTTGCCACTGGTAAGTCTGGTCCAAGACGCCCAGCTTGCACACATATTGCGGCCGGTCAAAGCCGGACTGGGATTTTGGATCCCAGGCTAATCGCAGCAGAAGTTCGATCACGTGAGGTGGACGGATGATGGATCGCAGATCGTCTATAAACATACCCGTGCAGTCGTCTTCGAGCGCTTCGTGAAAATCTAGTTGCAATCGGGAGGGATGTCTTAAGCCCCCCATGTGCGAAACGTATAGATCGAGAGGAGAAAAGCCGTGCGGCGTCGCAGACTCCGGCGTCACCTCAATCCAGTCGGCAACAGTTCCTGAGTGGTCAAATATCTGGCTCACCAGGAAGTACCATACAAAGTCCAGAACCTCAAAGATGTCAAGCTTCTCCTCGAGGGAACGTCCTGGGTTGTTGGACCATCGATCGTAGACTTTCCTTTCCCACCGGTTGAACTCTCTCTCCGTTTTGTGCTTGGAGACCCGGATCACCCAGGTCAGCTCCACGGCGACCCAATGGGCCGTGAGAGCACGGTAAAATCGCTCGTAGGCCAGCTGCTTCTCTTGCAGCGGAAGTTGCGCAAAAGATTCGCAAATATCTTTAGTAAATGGGCCAGCGGTTTCATTTTTCCCGGCGATTTCTGGAGAGCAGTTCCATGATGTCTCCCAGTCCGCCAGATACGACGAGCGAACGGACTTTTTGCAGTAGATATCAAACAATACCTTCATTGCATGCCACCTGGTGACGATCTCCGCCACGACCAGCGGCGATGCGAGGAGATCTGCTGACGGTTCATGAAACGACTTGACCATGTCCGTGTCCGGTCGGCGGGACATTGGCAGCCGCGGTTGTGTTCCGTAGATTTCAGTGCAGTCCGCATGGAATTGCGTCAGTTGGGAGAGCTGGAGGTCGTGTTTGTGATATTCCGAGCGTTGCTATGAAGTGTCAATCGTTTATTCAAGACCTGTGTTTGTGAGACTGGAGCCTACAATAATCGACTTCATGATCGTGTGCCGATGACCTGGACGGTCAAGGATACGACACAGCTGACGACAGGAACGTCCCAGACGGAGCGCATCGTCGATGTTATCCAACGATTGGAAGATTCGGAGAATAACCTCCGCCGGAAGACTCTGGAGGCTCGTCATTTCGAATTGATCGTTGATTGATGGAATATCAAGGTAGACGGAGCCATCAGAGAAGCACAAAATTGCTGCAGTCTAGCGATAAGATGATAAGGTGCGGAGCGATAAGGCGATAAGCAGAAATCACATGATGCGAGCAGACTCAACTCTTGATTCCGAGGTTCCATCTCAAATCAATCCAATTACCGTGTCTGTGCCATTGAAAATGCCTCCTCCTGGTAGTGGGGTATTTTAAATGAGAGATGATGTGCCAGAAGTAAAATCAGTGCATGAAACGAGAAATTTCATGCTACTGTTTGCGACTCGAATTGATAATGTGAAACCAGACACAACAGAAAATCTCTTTTTGAGTCTCATTGGCCAACTGTTAATATTATGCTATATTCTGTATTTGCTTTCAATCTAGCACATACGACCATAGGGACTGGAAAACAGGGCTTCCCGTCCGCTCAGCCGTACGGAGTACTCAAGCCAGTATTATCAATGCGACAGAAATTATATGCATAATGCGCCATTGAAGGCCTCCTGCCTAATGAGTGACTCAGAGTGAGAGACACTAAACCGCAGGGTGAGTGCGGGTGAGTGAGGATGAGTGAAGGTAAGCTGAGCAGTGCTATCCAGCAGCATAGGTAAGCATGGGTGATCAGTGGTTGAGTGATTCTGTGGTGACTGGACTTCGTACGTTCTAGGTATATATATTAGAAGCCGTATCCCTCTAGGAATGACATGATTCTCTTTGCATTAGCAGATTTACATGATGTCTAAGGCTATTCTTGCTATGAGCCCATAGCTACACATTTAAGATTATGCATATTTACATACTGTTCTATGCGCAGTGATGTTGTAACGGCCCGTATATAATTTACTATAGTGGAAATGGATAACATGTTAATGGTTAAACTTGCAGGTAGTAGTAGTGGTGTGCAGGAGGAAATTGTCAGAGGGTGTGATCGATTGCGCCTCTGGCATTCTACGTTATGTTCATGCTTACGATGGTACGATCATGAGAAGCAGGAGAATGATTGATACACCAGCTGAATTCTATTTATTCTTGATAAAAGCCATCCCACATTGTCTGCGTACCTGGCTCGGTCTGTCCTGGCTCACAGCTGCCGTCCCACATTGTCTGCGTACCTGGCTCGGTCTGTCCTGGCTCAGAGCTGCCGTCCCACATTGTCTGCGTACCTGGCTCGGTCTGTCCTGACTGAGAATTGCCGTCCCACATTGTCTGCGTACCTGGCTCGGTCTGTCCTGGCTCAGAATTGCCACCCCACATTGTCTGTCCCCCTGTCTGCCCCTGGCAGTTGAGGTATACGGCTAGTTGATGTTAGCTAAAGGCAGTCAAAGCGTAAAAGGAGGAGGTACCGTTAGCAAACAGTGCATACGAATCCGCATTGTTCAGCGCATTATTAGTACTCAACGCCGTAGCAGCGCTGTATCCATAGCCCAGATCCTCCGTGCCAGGCGGGTACACACCAGGGGCATGGGTGAACTCATGGATGATGGTGGTGGCCTGGTCCTGGCCGTGGCAGTCATTCGTCACTTCTTGGAGCGTGTAGAAGAGCTCGCAGTTAATGACCTCATTGGTGGAGGGGAGGGTGTAGGCGAGGACGTTAGAGTCGCAGTAGCCGTAGGGGTCGGAGCAGTAGTAGGTGGTTGAGCCACCTCCGTTCGACGAGGCCTCGCTGGCGACGGCTTTGAGGCGCGCGGCGACGGTGCTGCGGATGTCGCCGGAGGTTGACTTAAAGTACTCAGCGAAGAGCGCAGAGGAGCCCGAGGAGGCGGCATTGGCGGCTTTGCTGGCGATTGAGGCGGCGTTACGAAGGGCTGTGTTAAGGACTGCAGCGCGGTTGCCAGTGCAGGATGAGGTGATCTTTGTGCGGCGATCGAGGGGCTTGATTCTCGCGTGCACAGCGGCAGCCTTTAAAGCGTCGACCTCGAGTTCGAGCTCGTTCGAGGAATAAGGGATGTAGCCGGTGATCTTGTTGTTCATGGTCATGGGGACGAAGCCCTGGGTGCGGACGGTGATGGGGCCACCTTGGGTGAGATTGGCGGTGCTGGCGATGTCAAACTCGTCCTCATAGGTGGCGCCGGGTGCGAGGGTGGTCAGGGCCTCATTGGAGATGCCATCGCTGCGGAGCCGCTGCTTGATCCCGGTGAACTCAACCTCGGTGGCTTGAACTCAGGTTAGTGATGTTCCTCGGCGACAGGGAGACTTTTCGGGAAAGGGAGAGAGATACCATTCCGGTAAAGGGAAACCTTCTTAACAGGGCTAGAATCATTGAAGAAGTTGAGGTGTACAAAGGTGATTTTCTCACTGCCGGTGTTCCTGACGACAGCCTTGATCCGGGTGTTGTTGACCTGGCTCAGGGTGATATCAAGAGCTGGGGCTTTGGCAGGAAGAGCCAGAGCGCCATGGACAAGGGCCAGAATGGCAGAAGCGAGAGCAGTGAGTTTCATAATGGAGGATTGGATGAAGATTGCTATTGCTCTTGCGCTTTGCTCTTATGATGCTGATGCTGATACTGTCAGGCACACTGTCATCCTCATATTTATAGACATCCTGTCAACTAAAGCAGTCGATATCACAGAAAAAACCTGGCAATTGAACACGGAGAACAACCAAAACAGGAGGTTACATCGTATCCCGTCTGCAAGGCTTAACTTAAGAGGTAACACCTCGGTTGTCTGAAGACATCTCCATGGTGTTTTACCAACCAGCATAACCACTCCACAAGGCTTATTGAGCATCGCTACGAGCCAGATGAATGCCGAAGGGGTTGGCTTGGCTGGGCCCACCGGCCGTCTACAAGAGGTTGAGTGCGAGGGTCCAGTCAACCCGTGCCCTTGTCCCCACCAGCCAACATACATATTACTGAGGATATGTTGATTCTTGTCTGCATGACATATGCTGGGATTGGACACCAAGAGGGGTGGCAGGCCTGGATATGATGAAGAGGTCGACCTGCGCCTCCGGATGCTTGACAGAGGAATCCGCGTCTAGTCTGGTCTGCAGGGTCCATTTTGCTTATTATTCACGTCGTATTGCTATGGTGTTGACATAAATCACGTGTCGACGAGGTTCGTTGATCCTGCGCGGGATCTATCGGCGCCCCGTATCTAGTTTCAGACCCTGGATTTAGTGAAACCGAGTGGAGTCGCTTACTGGAGAGTTGTAAGAGAAGTGATACAAGTACTCCGCAGTGAGTCAAGAAAAAGAACAACTCATCGAGTAAATCGCCGATCATCAGACCTTATCAATCCTTATTTTCTCCTTAATATCCGGCTGATACTTGGAGACCCGAAGAGAATGCGACCCAAGACTTCCTGTCTCACCGACCCATTCTTTAATACCAGTCATTTACTGCTATAAAGACCCCTAAAGCTTGGCGACTTGAATATATAGCTCGGCAATTTACACCATGTGTCTAATTGGCGGATCGGATATCCCTCCTGCAAACTTGCGGTTTCATTATTTATAAGGAGACATGTATGGGAAGTATCGACATGACTTCTTGACCGAGACCATCATCACCTCACTAAAGCCATCAGCATAGCATGCGCTTTTGGTTGGGCATGTACCAAGGATCGAGATTATGACAATCGTCCAGAGGCACGGTGACTGATTTGCTGCCCTCCTCTATTGTTTCTAGCCGATATGCATGATCCCTGTCAGTTGCTGCCTTCCAAGGCGGAGCGGATCCAGAGATCTACTATTCAGATATCTCCTTTATATCGGATATCTCCAGTATAATGCACTGGTATATGAGTATCTTCACTGGGGGGCGAATAAGAGTATGTAAGTGCCTGAAAACTTCCCTGATTCTAGCGGAACCTGCCTTATCTGCAGTGGATGATACTCTTAGGCTTGGCTTGCGTAAGTAGTTAGTGGACAATTCCGTGAGAGGGGAAATACCGTGTGGATAGGGCTGACACTCAGGTTTAGAATTCACAGCATTGACCATGGCCATAGTTATGGTTCGGATTCAAATGGAGCATGTGAAGTGCTGTTGGGCCAGTACGTTGATGATATATGGTATATATACTGAACCTTGTATCTCTTTATAGCATACACACTGAGTGACTACAGACGGTCTAGAAGATCGCGTTTGGAGAAGATTGGAAACCGGAAGAGGAGAGAGGCTTAGTGATAGTACGACCTGCGATAGTAACACATATGCTGCAAGGCTATGAAGAAGGATGAAATTGCTAGAATTATAGCTCCCACCATGCCATGAAATGCCAATGATACCTCATCTCTTCAAGGAAGCTTAACCTTCAAATCGTCCTGTACCACTGAGTCACTGCTACAGCAAGCCTCAGTATCACTCAACGTGATTCCTAGGGAGATGTATACGGACCTCTCTGCTTGTTCTTGCCCAGCTCTCCACTGATTTGGTCGTTGGCAAATTTGTCTGCCGGGAGGAATTTGAACCAACTGAAGTGCGTACGGGAAGATCAGTACCTCTGGTAGATCATTGCACTATCATCTGTCAGCACTGGAAGCTTTCTGATAAGGTGAATGACCGGAGTGCCTCACTTGCGTGCGCTGGAGCCTCCCATGCATTTTCGACGGGGATAGCCGAAGAATCTTTCCCCCATACCCGGCTGGGGCTCGACCATGAAGCCTCAGTCGTTGGCAGCATTGTTCGCGAACCCAAAGGCTGGAGTGGAGGAGATGATGGGTTCCAAGTCTTCATACCAGCTTCCAGCCTCGACGATGGCCACCTCGTATCCCGCCTAGGCCAGTCGTGTTCCTATGGGAATTCCCGCAGTGCCTCCCCCGACAATCACATAGTCGAAGGTGTTGTTCCGTGCTTGGCCGTGGAGAAAGGCACCCGCCAGGGCAGGGAGCAGAGCAACCGGAACAGACCAGAACATCATTTCTCAAACGAAGAACTGAAATTGACAGATGGCCCGAGTATGCAGCTAGGTAATATCAATTTATGGGCGTGATGGATCCAGCTGCGTGTCCCCCGCGTATGGACCTGGATACCCATCAGCCACGGCATCCGCATTCCCGTGGCGTACTGTCGTGTACCAGCTGCGACGACGGGTTGCGCTGTAGAAGTGCGAAGACGAACCCTCCTAGTGCGTACGGAGTTCCAAGCAAATGAACCACCAAACCGGAGACAAAATCAAATTTAGCTGACGGGGACTTCGGGAATCATGTCGGGCTTGCGGGAGGTGGTTCCATCTCCGGGGCTAACGAACAATCGGATTTGGACATCGCCGGAGTACAGAAGCAGCCATGTCCACCACTAGGACGCGGTTGCTGGAGTTGTATATCTGCTGAACTTGTATTTCTGTATTCTTCAGCAAATCGACCGTTACGGGCTTTTATCTAAAAATGCTACTATCAGGTATCACGCACTTATATTAAGCCATGCCTCGTCGACTGGCAGACCCGAGTCAACCAGAATACTGAACACTCCAAAATACATCGTGCCAGTCGCTTCTTCTCTTACCCCAATCAAAAATCAGTGGAGATTTGATCATGGGTTCCACTGCGCCTACCACTGTCCCTTCTGGTGGCCTCGTCTTGGTCACCGGTGTGAATGGCTTCCTGGCCTCTCAACTCGCCCTCAACCTCGGCTACAAGCTTCGAGGGACTGTACAATTCCAGGATAAGGCGGACTGGATTACGGAAGCGGTCACGAAACGCTATCCCGACGCCTCCTTCAAGACGGTGGTGGTGCCGAACATCTCCGTTCCCGGCGCCTTCGACGACGCGATCCGCGGCGTGGATGGCATCGCCCATGTGGCCAGCGACCTGTCCTTCGGTAGCGATCCCGAAAAGGTCATCACTCCCATGCTGGAGGCCCTCCGCAGCTTCCTGCGCAGCGCCACCAAGGAACCGAGCGTCAAGCGCTTCGTGTTGACCAGCAGCGCCATTGCCGCTTTGACTCCGCAGCCGGAGAAGGAGATGCACGTCGACGCCAACACCTGGAATGACAGCGGCATTGAGCGGCGTGGCGTTCGGCGCCGTACGACCCCGAGCGGTGCTAGGACGTCTACGCCGCCCTGAAGACCTCCACCGAGCAGGAGTTCTGAAAGTTCGCCCAGGAAAACAAGCCCGTCTTTGTCGCCAACACCATCCTTACCGGATTTTATTGTGGGCCCAATCATCCATGCAAAGCAGAACGGCAGCACCGGCCGCTGGGTGAAGGAGTTCTTTGATGACCCTGTCAATTACTACAAGCCCCTGCAGACCATCATTCCCCGGCACTTTGTCGACTCCACCGACGTGGCTCTGTTGCATACTGCGGGCTTGACAGAGGAGGATATGCAGTCTGTGTAGAATGAGCGCCTTCTGGCCTTTGCCGGCCCCTTCAACTTCAACAACTGGTTGAGCGTGTTCCGGAAGATCGATCCTGCGAAGCCGTGGCCGGAGGATGATCCGAATCAGGCCCATGATCGCAGTACTGTGGATACTCGGAGGTCGAAGGAGCTCTTGAAGCGGTACTCAAGACCTGACTTTACGTCGTTCGTTGAAAGTGTGCGCGATAACTGTCTTAATAGCGACCCGGAGTGGAAGCGGTCGAACTTTCCCTGAGTGATGGAATGAGGTGGCTTATGTAAGTCGAACGAACGCTTTTATGTCTTTCTCGTACTATGTGCCATATCTCTGAGTAGGGTTGAGCGCTCGTTAGCCTTAAGTATCTGTTGTAAGAAAGTCTGCCGTGTGTGATACTATAGGTCTGGATTCGCAAGATGCCAGGCATCGTGCGGTACTGTCGGTCTTCTGGGAATACTAGAGTCCGACTGGTTTCCTTACATCTGTTGCTCAGGAAAGATGGTTATACCATGACCGAATTCGTGTCTCAAAAAACTCAACATCTTTTTGGTAGATTGGTAAGTTCAACAGTATCCCCATCACTTCCTCGTCTCCACCCCCCTTCCCCCACTTGCAGAATTTCCCTTAAGCACTCTGGGCTTGAGACGCAGTAGCAGTCTTCTTAGCCTTCTTGCGGAAGTGACCCTTAACCAAGAAGGCAAGACTCAACACCAGGCCCAAACCGGCCAACCCAAGCTCGAAGTAGAATGCACTGCGATACCCCTTCTTCTTATCATCATAGGTGTGGCCCCCATTATTGACCTCCCGCTCCACCGTCCCAGCAAAGCCCAGTCCCAGCGAAATACTATAGTTCACGATGGTCATGACCACACTGGCGCCGATGCCCTGGTACTTGGGTGGCACGGCATCTGAGAAGATGATCGTCGCGGCGGGGAAGGATGAGTCCATGCCAATGCAGATGATGAGCACACTCCAGAAGAAATTGCCCCAGTAGATCTGGTGCGTCGGCATGGTGGCGATGAGAATCGACCCGATCAGGTACGCAATCATACCGATGACCATGACCCATGCGGCTGAGATGCGGCCGAGAAGCTTCCCCACTGCGAGGGCCGAGCAGAGTCCCGAGGGAATCACTGGGCTGTACCAGGCAGCAAGAAGCAGTGGGCTGACTTTGTTTAACTCCATGACGAAGACGGCCGCATAATACACCCAGATGCCGAAGGTCGCCCAGCCACAGGCGGTGCAGCCCAGTACAAAGGCAATGTCCGAGTTGAAAGCCGCAAGCGGCAGGATGGGATCCTTTGACCAGTGCAGTTCGACCCAAAAGAAGGCCGCTGCAAAGAAGAATCCCAGGATGAGGCACACATATATGTATGGCTCTTGCCATCCGACCCCGGCGGCCTGGTTCCACGCGAAATTGATCAAGACCAGAGAGGCCACACCAGTAAAGCAGCCTGGAAGGTCCAGGTGTGCGATCTTCTGGCGGACCGTCAGGGTTTTGGATGTAACACTCAGCGGTTGGGGAGGGATGGACCAGGCGGAGAACACAGCCAGGCAAGTGAGTGCGATGGCCGCGCTCCAGTATGCCCACGGCCACCAGGCCAGAGCAAAGAGGCCGCCAGTTGCAAAGCCAGAGATGGCTCCAAAGGGTGCGCTGCCGCCGAAAAATGCAAAGGCCATGTTCTTGCGTGGTCCAGGGGCGTATGACTGGCCGAGGATGGCAATCGCGTTGGGCAGCGTCACGGCCGGACCCATTCCCTGGAAGACACGGGCGAATATGAAGAGAACCTGCGTTGAATAGACTGACAGACCGCAGACAAGGGTCCATAGCGCGTACCAGCCCATGCCGATGATGAACATCTTCTTATGTCCGAAGTCGTCGCCCAGCCGTCCGGCAATCAGGACAAAGGTGCCAATGGTCAAGCTGTAGCCGGCCACCAGCCACGACAGCTCGTTGCTATTGGTGATTCCGTACCAGTCCCCGATAATACGGACGATGTCCATTGTTTGGCCCAGTCCAAGCTGATTCGTGTACATGGCCGAGCAGATAGTCAGGATAAAGGCAATCTGGCGAGCAAGAGGGAGGGTATCCACGAGGTAGACATGGTCGTCCTTCGTGCTATTCTCAGCTTCGAGGCTGGACATTTTCTCGTCATCAGGGAAGGTGCCTGCTGTCAGTCAGAGCGGTTTTTCTCCCCCGTCGAATTCAGCCAGAAGCATATAAGGAAAGACTCACCTTTCGGAAGTTCTCCCTGAGAGGAAACCGATTGGGTCTCGCTGGAACTCTGGTTCCACTCAGCAGCCATGATGCTTGTCTATTAGGAATTGATGAACCAAAGAATGCAAATGATTGAGAGGATAAATATATTACCCTTTATAAAGGAGAATCGGTAGTATCATTACACCCACGGTGTCCAAGACCGGACTTAGAAGCTGCGGTGATCGTCCGCCGGGAACGACCACCGAACTCCGGGGCCCAAGACCGTCCAACTCCGGGGCGGTCTTTTAGGGGCGGCCCCGCCCGGAGTCGGGCGATCTTAGGGCTGCAATAAAGCGACGGCCATCCGCCTCCTACGCTCATGATTTTTTGATTTCATGATCTCCTCCACCCAAGCAGCAGTATGAAGATCCTCCATCCACTGTCGTGTTTGCTCTCGCTGGTTCTGGCCAACACGCCCGGTCAGGCTGCCGTCCGCTATCCGAAGCACTCTACCTGGATGCTGGAGAGTGTCATCGCCCGAGGCGAAGGAATCAATCTGGCCGACGGTCTGTTGGGAGTCATTCAAAAGGTACAGCACTGTTATGCATGGTTGGAACTACGGATTATTCACACATACACGCATAGGGATTATTCCAAGAAGCACTCAGAGCAGCCATCGCCCAATCCAGCGACCCCGGAGAGATCGCCAGATGGACGGATTATCACCGTCGCAGCGTAGATGCCAACATCGAGGACCTCCTCAATGCGACGGCGTCCTCCCACGATCTGTCACTTGATCGATTGTGTGTCGGTCGGTCGATTATGTTCGTGCCAGCTCTCTCTCCGATCATCCGTATGAGTCCTGACTGACGCATCCAGGGAGATGAATCTTGATGGGCCCCTTCATCTCAACGTACTCGAGGCCCTCCGAAACTCTCTTGACAAGCAGTATCGGAACGAGAACTCGGGATACTGGTACTTTGTCGACCCGCCGCCTCCCTACCAACCTTACGGCAATCTCTCGTACAGCGACGGCATGTACGGCTTCGCTCCGTTTGCCACCTTGTACGGCATGACCTACGGCGACCGCCATGTGAACCTCGACTCCGCCCTGCTTCAGCTGGATCTTCTCTACAAGCAGAGCATAGAGCCATCCACGGGCCTGATCAAGCACGGCTACGATGGCTCGCGAGAAGCTCCCTGGGCCCACCCGATCACCGGCGCTAGTCCGATTGTATGGGGTCGGAGTCTGGCATGGTATCTGATCGGCGCGGTGGATACCCTAGAGATCGTCACATCCAAGTACGAGGACAACCCCGCCGCAATGCAGAAAGACGGGACCGTGCAACGCATCCTCGAAATCTTTCAGCGTCTCGCCCAAGCGACCACGGACGCAGTCCAGGACTCCGCCCGAAAGACCGGTCGCTATGCCGTCTGGCAGGTGATGGATCGGCCGGGAGAGCAGGGGAATTTTGTCGAAGCCAGTGCCAGCGCCATGGTTGCGTATGTGCTGGCGAAGGGGGTGCGTCTGGGTTATTTGCCTCCGTCTTCGGAGATGGCTGGAGAACACGGCGCATCGACGTATCTCCGGGCCCAGGACGCGATGCCGCATTCCTGTGATCAGGCGCGATATCAGGACGTGCCGGATGTGGCGCGCGCTCTCTACCAGGATGTGCTTGAGCATTTTATCGTGCGGAGGCAAGAGGATGACACCTTGGATTTCCTCGGGACGAGCATCATTGCCAGCCTGCATGAAGAGAAGCCGTATTACGAGGTCAGTTTGTGTCCCCTTTCGAGATCCGGTATGTTCTGGCTGACGCTTGTGTCTACAGTATTATACTCACCGAGCAGTCACAACGAACAGCTTAATCGGGACGAGTGCGTTCGCCCTCGCCTCCCTAGAGATGGAGCGCGCGGGCATTCAATAGAAGTAATACAATATGTTGGGTTGATAATTCGGTCAATTGATGAAATAGTACAAGTACTTTGTAATATCCATGTCATGTCACGATGTCGAAATTGATTCGTTCCCTCCTATACAGGTGCTCATCCATTCCACATTTCCGGCACTCGCCAGCAGAGTAGTATACTATCAAACAGCTTTTTGACCCTGGAGATCCCATCGGACGCGACCGACGCCACCCTGCCCTACCATCCATACCTCACGATAGTCGTCCGCATCCGACCAGACGAAGTTATTGACGGTGAAATTGGTCTGCACGCGCGCGATCATATCCCCATACTCGTCCATCACACTCAGCCCATTCCCGCTCGCCGTCACCACCCATCCATTCCGGGCCACCTTGAGTCCGTCCGGTACCGTACCGATCGCGTCGTAGTGAATGGGACGCTTGTTGGCAATGGCGTGTCCATGGTCGATGAGATCGAACTTGTAGATGGTCCGCTTGCCGGTGGCGTTGTATAGTAGACCGGCCACGCCGGGGCTGGGCAGATCGATGGAGATCGGCGCCGATAGACCCGCGGCCTCGGTGTCGGAGATGTAGACGTGCCTCCGGTCGGGACTCATGGCGATGCCGTTGGGCGAGCGCATCTCGTCATTGACGACGACCGTGGACCCGGTGGCGGGATCGAAGCGATAAGTGGCCGATTTGAGCTGCGGCGGGATATCGGCAACCTCCAGCCACCACGAGTAGTAGGGCACGGTGAACCAGACGTAGCCAGTGACGGGGTCGACAATGAGATCGTCGCAGTCGGTGAAGGTCAGACCGTAGTAGTTGTTCAGCAGCGTGGAGGACTTGTTCGTTCGGGGATCGAGGGCGACGATGCCCGGCCGCTGCTTGTGTTCGTGGCTGCTGCCGGCCACAGAGTAGTAGATCAGGCCGTCGTGGTAGAACCCGCCGTTGGGCACGTAGATGGGTGGATCGGCCCTGAATTCGGACAGGGTGGGGGGGTTGACGTTCAAATCGATAACGAACTGCTCCAGCATGGGTGACAGCTCCGAGAAGAAGATCTTGTTCAGACCCGGCACGAACGTCGGGGCTTCATGCAGCGCCCCCGGATTGAAAGGGAACACAAAGTCCACGCTGGGGTTCTTGCCGAGGAGTTTTCGGCCCCGCTCCTCGTCGAAAACCACAAAGTCGGCTTGGTCTACATGCTCCCAGGAGGTCGACTTGGTTTCGCCTCTGCCGTCGTTGAACTCGATATCCGCCAGGTTCGTGGTGTAGGTGCCGTTTGGAGAATCCCGCCAGAAGGGATAAGGAAGGTTGGCCGCGTGTTTGTCGACGCAGACCACGCCCGGTGCGATGCACTGGCGAACGAGACCGTCTTTTGGTGCAGTGTTTGAGGAATGGCGAAAGCTGTCGATGAGAGGGTGCTCCTGCCCTGGCTCGTCACGCCGTTGCATGACAACGACGCCCAGTACGAGAGCAGCATTGAGGGTGAATGCGACAATGTGCTTCATCTTCACTGCAGGTGTGGAATTACTGGAGGATGAACTGCCTAATCTTCGCGGCCAGGGTATTTAACTTGTCATGTTGTGATTCTTTTGATCTCGGAGAAGGGTGGTCGTCGTTCTTGTTCTCCGGCGCGCTCCGGCAGGATCGTCGGGACATCGTCCCCAGAAGGGTCAACAAGTGTCGCAGGACCTTATGGTAAGAACAAGAGAGTATATAATGAACATTGTTGACTAGATAGTTCCATGTCTCCGTTCCATGCCCCTGTTCCTAGATAGCAATCCAAAGGATTAAACTGTTCATATCCCTCTCTTAAACCCTTTTTATCAAGAATAACTGTAGCCATGAACAAACTTTTTGATTTATTCTTACCTAGATGAATTGATCAGGCGTTTATGCTACGAATCTAAGCCAGTGACCCAAAATTGTCGGGGCAGGCTTCTATGACACCAACGAACGAATGACATAAGTGCCTTATCCTTTCTGTCGAAAGAAGGTAAAACATGTGCATTGCTGTATGTCTGCTCTTCCAGGCTGGAGAAGGTAATTGAGACGGCAAACCTCCTAGGACTTACTACGGCGACTTGCCGCTACAGTCTAGACTGTAAAGCCAATTTAATGATAAGTGGTACACATGCGGTGCAGGAAGCTCTTTGAATACAACTCCTGTTTCGTGGATCATAGGTTGCTGTAACACTATATATTCCTTTTCTGCTGTATTGTCTCAGACAATTAAAGAGCAAACACATAAACAGTCGCGATTAGAATGCCCAAAGCACAACTAGTAAGATCGTAGAACTCTACAGCTTTCGACGTAGTACAGCGGACATGATCCAGGAAAGACCGAACCACCGTCAAGGCTTGAATGTATGACAATCGCGGATCACAAAGACCTCGGTAGTTCGTCGTCAAATCCCCCTCGCAATAAGTCTGTGACGAATTCTGCTGTTTGTTCGAGATGGCGACCACCCATGATCGACCCATCGGCTCGATGAGTCTCGAAGGTGCGGATGACCTCTTGGACCATGGTCTCAACACAGCCGGTTTTGATCCCGACGGCGTGACTTTGGTATTGTCATGGCACAGATCGCACATCCAGACGGGCTTGTGGCTTCTCGGTGTCGTCGTCGCGATACATGCCGCAGAGCTCCTTCAGGTCCGAGATCTGGGGATTGTGGGCCAGCTTCAGCGGGTTGGAGTAGCCCTGGCTGGGGCCGCGGCCCTTGTCCAGCTGGCCAGGATTTGCATTGCATCGTATGGCTTGAAAAAAGAGTGTCTTGGACGGCGGAATCTGTTTTTCGGGGTTGGGTTGCGGCCGTCGGAGTTGGTGGTCGTCAAACAACCACCGACTCCGACGGCGGACGACCATCCACACTCTTCTGGGCTCTGCTAGCAAACGGACGACGGAGACGCGCCACACAAAAAGGGACAATCCGGGTACACAATTTGTCATCCTCCGCAACATCACGGCGACTTTGTCCTGGTTCTGCTTTCGTCCGTTCCCCCGACCCTTGGTATAAGTACGCAGGGCATGGCACGATGCGCCCGAGTCTTGGTCTCTTTCGGATCATCCTCCTTCAGCTGGTCTTTGGCAACGACATGATCAGAGCTGCAGCCATGAAAGCCACCGCAGACACTGCATTTTGCCTGTCCGGTCTCAGTGCCGGAGGCGCAGGCCATATCCTCGTCGGCCAGAGTATCACCGTCCGGCCTGACGCCGGCGCGCACGACATGGGCACCCCTCGCGAGGCCTGGGGTCTCAAGTCCGGTCTCTACACCCCCCGTCAACTGGTCGAAGGGTTTGCACCGCTGTTGGATACGGTAGTTTTCCGTCTGGGTGCAGATCCGCCGAACGCAAGACCGGCACGGGCCCAACTGCTCGACAACCTGGCCGCCAATCTCGACACCAACACCCGGGAGGCCACTCTGCACTTCCCTGACATCAATCTCGATGACTCCCGCCAAGAAATCGCTGAGCAGGCGAGACGTATTGGACGGACGCTCGTGCAATACGCACGCGACTACACGGGCGGCCCGTTTAATCCTGACCTCTACCTCCGCAGCCCCTGTGAGGGCCATCTCCTCACCCCGCCGAATGTCGACCTCATGTTCGGCCGTCGCAGCCAGTCGCATCTGATGCAACTGTTCAACGAGTACATGCATCAGATGGTCCTTCTGCGGGATGCCCTGCTGCCATTCAAGAACTACGAGGACGTGATCATCCCCGTCGACGGCCGCGCCGCTCGAGGCATCCGCCGTCTCGAGCCATCGCGCGCAGAGTTCCTCACCCACCTTTTGACCAAGGGGGTTACCCAGTCGGCAATCATCAAACACGCCCAGGCTCTCCTCGCCCCGGGTCTTCTCTCTGGTTCCAGCCTGACGGCCCCAAAGGCCAGCCCCGGCTACGGCTTCCAGTATGCCCACGGCCTGGTCCTGCCCGCTTTCCTGAGCGGCGGACCGACTCCGTTCCATCTTCTCCAGTATATCCCCGCCAAGCTGGTCGACGACCCCCCAGAAGACATCGTCTTCGACTACCGCATTCAGGACTACTATGTTGCGCCTCGCATCGAGATCCCTGCCGGTACCGAGAAATCTCCGGCGGTCCAGTCCGCGGGATACCCCGAGGCCAACGGCTGGGGCACACCAACCCTTGGCGTACAAAGCGCCAGCATCGGAATCGTTCCACCGACGGCCGACTCGACCTCGTCGTCGAAGACGGTCCGGCAGCTGGAATTGCAACTGCAGCTCGAGAACGGCAAATGCGTCTCCGTCGATCTGGGACAGGTCGCGCGTGGCCATCGCTACGCCTATCAGGCATCCAGAGCCAGTGACTCCGCGACATCAGCCAACGGTAAGCACAGCGCGACGACCACCGTGTTCCACGACGCGGCATCCGTCCTGGAGATAGGGGAAGCAAACGGCCTCGTGACAGCGGAAAATGGCGGTCTCCATGTGATTCCCGTGCAAGACCCGGTCGTTGCTCTGGCGCTTCTGGGGAAGATCTACCCGGGGAACGTGGTACTTCTGCCGGAGTCGGAGGGCTTAGCGCAGGCTGAGAAAGCTGGGAAAGGACTGGGGCCAAAGTTTGTCCTTTGGGGCGCTGTGGAGCGTGGTGGTTTACGGGGAAAGTTTTAGTTGTCATTAGCTACAGTCGTCCTTGGTTCAAGTATTCATTTTAATGAAAATCAATATTGAATCAGGACAGTGCTCAGATAGATACCAGCCTTCAGGTTAAGCCTTGGCCCGGCCTCTTTTCGCTCCAACTATATCAACATTCTTGCAGGAAAGTATCAAAGCCCCCATCAGGCCAAGTTTCAATGATGGGAAAGCTTTTAAATATTAATATTTATGCTCCTGAATTAACCCATTCTAAGAAGCAACCAGTAAAGGAACCAGAAGAGTATATATAATCAGTCAGACCTTAGCATTAGCTGGCTGCAACCCATTATGTTGCTGGGACCTATTCGAATCTCATGCATCTCTAGCCAACTCTTCATGTGTTTCTGGCCGTTTTGCCTGCTAGACTGTATGATACTCTAGGTGTTCGATAAAGTTCAATGACCAATCAGATGATCCTACTGGCTCCCCCTGTTGTACATCAACCAATATTGACGTCAGCCGCATACCCGTGGTCTAATGTAAACGGCATGACAGCGTTTCTCTCCTATCTCCAGACATCTGCTGTGGGATTACAAAATTTATATTGGGCTACATAAACAAACTTGATAACATACATGGTAGAGATCCAAGAATATCAAACATCGCTGGCCAAAGCCGTATATAGATATTATCCCCTGACCCAGCACCTACGAGCAGCCAGGCAGCCCCTCCCACAAGAAAATCCCCTGTACGGACGCCAGACCTTCTGGACAGGTCCCGCTACATGGATCATTATCCTTCGCAGGGTCCAGCTGGGTGGGGGTATAAGTCTGGCCGTAAAGCTGGATCTGGAACCCACAAGAAGGGTCGGAGAAGAATTGCGGGCCCGAGTTCACAAATGTACCAGCCTTATCGCTCGAGGTGCACCAGTTGAAGGATGTCTTGTCGTTGGGGATGTCGCATATGGGGGTAGATTCGCCAATGTTCCCATCCGTCACGAAGGTGCCGATGCATTGGTGGCCTTTGATTTATGAATTTCAGTATGGGCATTTTGGATCAAACATAGGGTGGGTATGCCTACCTGGAGCGTAGATAACATACGCATAGATGGCCTCTTGCGATGTCGCTGTGGTCGACAGACCCAAGCATAACGAGAGGGTTCCCGTTGGCGAGGCCGCGGATGATGTCGTGGTGGATGACGTTGTTGTCGTTGTCGAACTGGACGTCGGTGGTGGGCTCATACTGGTTATGGTCACCGGCAGTGTTGGGCCAGGCAGATAGATGTACCCAAAATCGCCGCCAGCCCCAAGAGTAGGGGCGTCAGCAGCGGTGTCTGTGGGGCTCCATATGCTGATTCCCGTAGGTGGAGTGCAAGAGGAGATTGTCCCTGTGGTCTCCTGGCAGCCGACAACATCTGGCACAGAGAGCATTGTTAGGATGCTAAACTCGGAGTCAGGGGAGGTGATGCAATACGTACTGACACAGCTGGTGGAACACGTCGACGTTGGCGTTGGCGTACAGTACGTGTTGCAGGAGCTGAATGTTGATGTCTCGCACTCGCTTGAACTTGGCTTGTTATCAGGGTTGTTGGGGTCGAGTGCAGGCGGGATGCCCCCAGGCTGGTCAGGATCAATCCCATTGATGGCTATTTCTCGTCAGCCTGTGGTATCAACAGAAACGGCAGAAAAGGATGCATTGAACCTACATGGAGGCCCAATACTACAGCCTATCCAGCAAGGTATGCAGATGTCCAAGATGCTATCACCACAATGATGGCCACATCCTGTCGCATGAATGCAGGATGGCTTTGGGGGTCCTGACGTGTGATGAACAGAGGTTATGACCGCGCCCCTAGTAGTCTGGGCACCGCTTGTCGTAGTGGTGGTTACACCACCTGCCGTAGTAGTTGTAGTTGGTGTAGTGCTGGGCGGCTCTGAGGACCCGGGCCAAGGAGGCGGCCAGAACGTGCGTGTCCGCGCTGGATAAACACTCCCGTAAATGATAGTCGGGTCAGTGATGGTCAGAGGGGGCGCAATGATGCTCGGAATGGGATATATGACGGTCGAGTTGACGGTAACTGTCTCGTCAAACCACGGGATCACCGAGGTCGTCACCGGAGGAATGCTGATAGTTGTCGTATCGACGGTAATCTGGTAGATGGTAAGCGTGGATGTCTTCCCTGATATCTCAAATGTGGTTGTCGAGTTGAACCCAACTGTCACCGACGTAGTGAGCGGTGGGAAACTAAACGTCGTCTCAGTAGTGAGCGTTAGAGGGGGCAAGATATAGGTGCATGGCGGCGAGCATTGCATCGTAACTGGAGTCCCTGGGTTTCCAGACCAGAGGTCTGGATCGATTGTCACGCTGCCCGATCCATCGCCAGGAGAGGATCCGATATCCTCTCCTTGTGTAGAAAGGGCGAGCCATGCCGCAATCTCGCTGGTGTATCCGTTGCGCGTGGTGGAATTGAACAGCAGCGGTGGAAGTCCCCCGCGAGGCGTGATGATTTGGACGTTGCCCTTGGTGAAGATATTGTACACCCACAGGCTTGAAGCAAAGTTGGTCTCGATGAGAGCTAATTGGCAGTTTTCCTCGTCAGTGCAACCCAGTTGGTTGTTCTGGAAGAAGGAGTAGAATCCCGCACTATAGATGAAAACGTCTTTGGAATCAAGCACTCTCAGTGCCCATGCCCCCTTGCAAAGGTCGTCTGCACAATTGTCATACACTGGATCGGAGGGGAATTCCCCAGCTTGGTATGGCTTGAGAGCATTGGGATTTGGCTGCCAGTAGGGAGTCTCGGTCTGCATATGACCGAGGTAGATGTTGGATGCGTTCAGAAGCTGGTATTGATACATCTGCGAGTGCTCGCTGGCGGTGCCATACAGCCATGTCGGACCCTGGGATTCTATCAGAATCCCTCTCCCCGCGTAAATGGAGATCTGTGTTTGGACGTTCAGCGGGATCCCATCGGTGGTCTCATAGGCGTCGGCATTGAGAGGGTTATCGAGGTCATGATCAGCCACCCAGGCCCAGACGTTCTCAAAGTAGCCCGAAGAGTCCTTTGTTATATGCAACAGTAATGAAGCCGCCATGCACTTCGTGTTGACGACGGTTTGACCTGTTGGGCAGTCCGCCAGCTGGAGATTAGTCCCTTCAGCACCGCCAACTCGGAAATGACTATCCCACATGGCAGCTACAATAGTATGAGCATCGGCTTTATCGCAAGATATTTTAGAAAACATACCGCTTCCTTGAGAGATTTCATGCACGTTCCATTCCATCAAGATCGCTCCCGCCGTCGAGCCCTGGACGGTGAACAGCATGTCGCTAATTTCAATGACTCCAGAGTCGCCATCGTTGCCCACCTGAACCATGACTTTGGGATTTTTCGCATCCTCAAAGTATGATCCGGTGCCCATGATTTGACTCCACCCGGAGCCGACGATGATACTTCCAACTGGAATATGCACGGTGCCCTTGACGAGATAGACCCCGCCAGGAAAGAAAATAATGGAGCCCGCGTTGGCTGCGAGGAGGCTGTTGATAGCTGCAGTCTGGTCTCCAGTGCCGTCGTTCAAGACACCGTGGTCGGTTGCAACTATCGGGGTGCTGCCTGCATATTGAGGCTTTGATCGCGAAAAGTACGCACCGCTACTATCGAGGAGGCCGGGCGACTTACGAGGGGCTGGACTGACAAATCCGGTCCTCGAGCCACTCGAGCCATCGGAAAGGGTTTGATATCCATTTGCCCATGAGTTGAAGTATAGAGGGCCGGAAGATCCCGCCAGTATTGTATCGCCCCCAGATACCAGGACAACGGACTGTGAGTTCTCAACTAGCAGGTTATCAAGCACAATGTTAGGTTGCTCGTCTCCGTGGGAGGCCACTGTAATAGCATAGGGGACTCCGTTGAAGTGCGAGTCAAGCACTGTGATGGACCCGGTGCCTTGACTTGTAGTCCCGGAGTATGCAGTGCAGTCGAGCGCGATGTAGCAAGACAGAACGTAGATGTTCTTCCATACGAACCCCCAGTTCCATACATGCTTGATGGCGGTCAGACAGGAGGTAAACTGGAGGTTGTTGGCTGTGAACTGCTGACTGCCCGCGAGGAAGCCAATATTCCTAGAGGAACTGGTGAGTAGGAGCTCATGGCCACAAAAGCATGTACAACGCACCCTCCGAAGAATGACAGGTCCGAAACAAAACCACCGCTGCCATTTTCCATGTAAATCCCAACCGCGGTGGCGGCCTGCGCACCTTGGGACACCGACATTTCGAAATGGCAGTTGGTAATGCTTGTGGCTTGTCCCACTTGCCAATGAATACCAGCCGGTACATATTCCTGGTCATTGTCATAGTTGGTCCAGTTCATGCCGGTCATATCGAAGACCAAGTTGCGGATTTGTCGGTAGAAGTTGCTTTGGTTAATATACCATTCCGCACCATTGCCGCCGGGGATATAGACATCATTGTCGACCAAAGCAATCCCAGTAAAGTTAAAGCTGCCCTTGATCACAGCTCTTGAGTTTGGATCACCCACAAACTGCGTATAGTAGTATTGGATGATGGGTGTGCTGATGAGATACGTCCCCGGTGGGAAGTAAACGACCGCGCCCAGCGTCGTTGTTGAACCGCATTCTTTCCCACAGCGAAGTGTCGATGTGTCACTTTGGCTAAAGGCAGCAGCAGCTCGGTTGATGGCAGCCGTGTCATCGGCGACGCCGTCACCGACGGCACCGAAGTCTCTTACGTTGCGGAAGAATTGATAGCCTGCCGGAGCGAAGGGCATCTGTTCAATATATCAGACTGGAGTACATCGCTATACTGTTAAGCATCTACTCACTTTCCCGGCACTTCCCATGGAAGCCAGCCAGTAGCCACCATCCTGCCGTGCGTGGATTGGATGAACGTGAGGTGGGTGACCGTGAGTTGAGTGACCGTGCATCTCGACCATGCTGCTTGCATTGAGAGGGGCAAGAACTGGGCCATTCAGGGAGCCTTTGTCAGGCGCAGTGCCAAAATAGTTATTCACATCTAGTTTAGATTAGACATGCCATTGACCTATGACTTGGTCGACGGTGGACGAACTGCCAGATGTTAGCTACACCCTGTACGTCGAGAGTGGTTCATAATAAGCACCGACCTATCTTTCATGTATGCCGGTGGTGGCTATAATATCATCAGCATACGTATTACTCTAAGGCACCGGACAGATTGTAGTAGCTAGGCACAACGCACATGTGGCTCTCCAGGAGGTAAAGCAGGCGCAGTCCCTACAGGACCCCTGGGAATGGTGATCTCGGCCGATGATGGCATGGCCAAAGCCATTGCCATCACCAGTCCATATCGGAGAATAGGCCGCATTTTCGACGATTCGTGCCTATTGTTTCCTGCTCGCTGATATAAAGGGGCGTGCCGGATATTTATGGCTAGGACGTGCGATTCTGCTGATGTGCTAGTCTCGGTCCATCGAGCCGATATCAGAACACATTACTGATTCTTCTAATTACCGACTTCTTCTCCTATTTCCCATAGTTACTCTCTAGTGTGCTTATCTCAGAATTTAGTATTAATCTATGGTGTGGCTGCAGTTGGTTATGATGTGGCCTATGAGACCAAGGAGGCCCATAACATCTCATTTCGTCGAACGGCTCATTCCCGATGGATGAGGGCCACGCTAATGCAAGCCAGGTTACATCCGGAGCTTGCTTCCCAGCAACTTGCCCTTGCATGGACCTTAACTCCGCTCGCTCCCCAAACCGGGGGCGCAAGCTAGGATACGAACACCTCTTTATGCCGTTCTAACCGGCAACATGGGCGTTGGTTACACCGTGATAGGCTAGAATGGATTCTATCTCCGTGGGTAAGGGGTAGAATGCATCCTGCCACCAGTTACCAAGTCTGTTACTTCAAAGAGTAACATCTTTTCCTCTTCTCATCCCAACTTTCGCCCTCATATCTCGCAAACACGAGAAGCAACATGATTGTTCTGAATTGGCAAGCATGGATCACAATCGTCCTAGCACTGGCCAGTGTCTCCACAGCCCGTGTAGGTCACAGATTCAGCCTCCACCACGATAATGATATTATCGGTAACCTGTCAGCCCTTCAGATCCGCCAGGACTCGGGAGGCTCCAGTGAATGCACGCTCGTGCCAAACTGTAGCCCCTCAAGCTGCGGTGGTTCCATCTGCACAACATCCAAGAAACGCAGCCTCCCCATAATAGGGAGTAATCTCACGGATATCGATCCCGAAGAGCAGGCACACCTATTCAAGCGTGTTCTTCGACCCGTTAGACAGTCTGGTCTCATCAGATATCTTCAGAATCAAAACGACGACCCGAATCTTGTCAAGCTGTGCCCGACGAACGCGGGGGGCTACGACACGCCCTCGTACTGCGTGCAGTATAGCTTCAGCAACGCTCCGGTGAACCCTGCAACGGGGCAGTTGTTGATCGGCACGGGCGATACCGAGCTCACGGGGTGTACGGTGCTGACTGTCGTGTCTTCCAAAGGTGTATACATGGTGAGACTCGCGAATAAAGCCACCTCACTGAGGACCCCGCTGACATCGCCCAGTGCCACTTCTGGCAGGATCTTAACTACGTCAACCCCGGGGAAGAGGGAAGACCTGATCGTCCCGTGCTTGGGTTCCAGCCGGTCCTCAATCTTATTGCAGGCCAAGGCGATCGGCGCTGGGCGGTTGGTCCAGCGCTTGATACGTCTCTGTTCACAGGGGAAGGGACCAATACATGGGCATTTATCACCACACCACGCGCCGCCGCTGCGCTCGATGATCCGCGTAGATATCATTATGTCGCCGAGTACCAGCAGCTGTAAGTACTTGGCTCACTCGTTGGTCCAATGAGGTCTATGTTGCGAATTCTGACCAATACTGCCAGTGTTGCTCTCCTGACCACACTCGTGCCTGGTATCGGCATCATGGATTACAACTACTACTGGGTCCTGCCATACACAATGTATTATCAAGGGTCTGTTTTGTTTGAATACGATGTGAATGCGGACGGTTCAGGAAACCCTGATTGGCGCCTATGGATTGAAGCCTCGAATGAAATGGGGACGGCCCTGGGTCAGAATCCAGGCTAGGGAATCGAGAGTCTGTCGTTGGAGCAATAGCTCCCTGTTCCGTTCACAAGCTGTTGCTATGAAGGAGTTGTTCTTGCAGGATATAACTGAGGGCACTGTAGTGCCAACTTATGCTTCTATCGGTGGGGTCCGTATTCCTGCCGTTGCTCAAGCATCCACTGTTGTCTCGCAGGAGATCCCAGAGGTATTGGCATTCCATGGGGGAGGTGATATAGGATCGGGTGTTTCAACTCCTCGCCTTCCCGCTTCAATGTATTGCTGCCATGCGCACCAACCCAGGTGTTGAACCTAGGCTCCCCGGCGCCTGTAAAGTGTACCAAGTCCCCTTGGATCATAAGCTCGTCAAGGTATAGATATGACAGACTGGAGGTTTCGCCCGTGCAAGCATCGAAGATTGACCTGAATGTACCAGAAACCATTCGAACACTTTCCAAAGAGAGCCTGCGGAGCTGCGTCCGCTTCAGGAGTGCAAGTAAGTCTCTCTCCCGGACAAACACGCCCCGGAGAGAGCAATCTTCCAACGCTGGTAGTGCTGCTGATTCCGCTACACGCTGGAAGAGCCTTTCCCTCGGGCTGGGGATGTGGAAGGTAAGATGACGAGAGTTCACAAGATACTGGTGTATCTGTAGGCTTTTGAGCTCGTGGCACACGTCTAACATCCTTGCTAGGCCGACAAAATTGTTTTCGTCTTGCGCCTCCGCTGTGACTCTGTCGATGTCTCTGTCGTGCTCATCGTCCGACCAGTCGATCACATCGGCCGAATCGCCGGAGCGCTGGGCACCTTGGGGTGTGAGCCAGAGAATCCGGTCTGAAACACTGATAGACAAAGCTTTAAGAGCTCTAAGGACTTTGGAGAGTCCCTCATTATGATAATCAATCTGGGAAAGCTCCCGACTCTCCAGGCTGCATCGCTGCATGTAGTAACCATTAAAGACATTTAAACAGTCAACCGCCAGGAGACTTTTCTGTAGAGCCGCCAATACAATCCGGAAGGTCTCTGCCGTAGTCTGCCAGATACGCCTCCAACTACTGCCAGCCAGGGGAGTTATCTCGCGTTCCGCATCTTGACAATACACTGTAACCTCGAGCGAGAGGGATTGGAGTTTCCTCTCGGCGCTATTCGTCGCCAGGTATTTAAAAGCCTGGCTGAGAAGCTGCACAATCTTCCCCGACTCCAGTAGTTGCTCATAATCCTGTCGCCGCTGTCGAAGAATCTCCAAGTCTCGCTTCCTGGGATCGGTTGCGTCTGCTGTGAGGCCAGCTTCGAGAGCCGCAGTGTCGTTGACCACGCCAACCAGCGTTAGGTGGCGAGTTTCGCAGCCGAGCCAACCACGCTGTGTCAAAAGGCCTAGCTGTTGCAGGTCTGCTCCCGTGATCTTGACACGCTTAGAGCGGAAGTTCAATCTAAACCGTCCCTGGGTGACTCGAGACCGAAGATATCGATTTGTCAATCGGAGATTGCCCGCATCCGTCAGGTCCAAGTATGCGACGATTTCCTCGACAATCTTTGCAGGGCATTGCTCGAGACCCGCCATGGTGTTTGCTGCAGTTGGAAAGGGACTGGTGTCAGCAAGAGATAATGGAGTAGCTGCCTACTAGTACCTTTTCTTTCCCGCCTCAAGCGGGGGTTTGAGGCGGGGTTCTCGCTTACTCGACTTTGCTAATTGACCTACTCCGCACGAGAGTCTAGCACACGTATTGAAATTGTGAACAAACGTCGTGTCGCAAACGAGGTCCATGACAGAATCAATGATAACAACCACTTCCCTAGGATGATATTTGGGCAGTTTGCCCCTCACCGATCAACGGTAATAGACCACGGGTCTTGGTATGGTGCTGAGAGATCTAACCACCTTATTGCATTGCGTTCTAAGCTTCCAACCTTTCTGTGATCAACATTACCTCTCCAACAAGGAGTCTTTTGAACATTGAACTACAGGATCACAACCCAATGAAACTCAACGAGCAGGTCAGAAGTGAGATCCTGCGTCGAAGGATCACAATCCTGGGTCGTGACTGTCTATCGAAGAAGACTATACTACAACGGATGCGGAGTAAGAAAGGCTCGGACGACAATGTCTTAGCGCCACAAATAGGTGGAAATTAACTAATAAATTGGGTATTCTCCTAGTTCTATCTATCGTCCAAATGAACAAAACTGTATACTGGCTTCCACTGCTCCACCACGCTAACTGCGAGGGCTACACCATTGCGAGGGCTTCGGTGGAGTCTGAGTGCCAGACCGTTTGCTTTACCGATCTCTGCATGTATATCTTTGGTGGAGAGGTCGGAGAAGCCAGCGGCGTGGCATTTGGTGCTCTGGATATTCTTGAAGCGGAGTTTCGGGAGCCTCTAGACCCGATTCGAGGAAAGCATCGCTTCATTAGAGGACGGAGGGTGTGTGAAGGCTTCTTAGCCGAATGAAGTAAGTTCAGCATGAGGACCAACTCTAGCCCGTCGGCCTACGTCTTCATATGCTCTCTGAGAACATAATCTCTCCTTTACCTTCTCTTACCTCTATAATTAATTCTATCATTAAGAATGGGGAGGGGCTATAGCTACAGTAAGTCGGATCAAGCTTTATCAAGCCCGCCAAGACCACCAATGGTGACAAATAGGAAAGCTCATCTCCAGGCCTCCCACTGGAATCCACGTACATATTGATGGGTACCTGAGACTTGGTGGTCCTCATAACAAGGAAAGGAAGCTAGCATAGATACCTCTATATATAGTTTTGGCCCGTTCCGTAGCCAAGATCCTGCTGATTGGTCTTTACAACTAGCTTGAACACCAAGGCATAGATAGCCTAAAATGTGGCTGTATGGTTACATCGCGCAATGGAGCCTAGGCAATCTCATGTCGTAATTATTTACTTAGCACTGTGACAACAATAAGAGCCCTAGAATTATTCCATTGATGGAACCCACTCGGACATGCCTCCTCAAGCAGTTAGCTAAAGTAGAGAAGTGAGATTACATAGCCAAACAGACTACAATAATGTATCTTTAGGCTAGCATTGCAAAGCAATTATGCAATGGCATAGTTTATGAATATTTATTCTTTTAGTCTCAGTATCCTAATCAGCAGATCATTGCTCAGGGTGCATCATTCTCACAGTACATATATATCCTTGATAGTGTGCTGTAAGGGTATGATTTGAGCGACGGTTCCTTCAAGCGCATATTATTAGAAATAGCATCAAGAAGGCCAGCTCCTCTTCGCCTCTAATTTCAGGCAAATCCTCTGAGGGAGGGTACTCGGAAAAGTGTTAGGCTTGGCTTAGTGCCCATCTGGTATAGTACATCTTGCCCAAAGCAGAATTAGTGATTATCAAAGTTTAGACCCCCAGTGGCGACCTGACGACCAGTTATCGGGTAGTTGAGCAGTCGTTATTAGTTGTGTGAGTGATCTTGGACTAAGGAGACCAAGTTTTCGAAGATGTATTGCGGGTGTTGTATGGGGATTTGGCACTCTAGATGGTATAAATTGTACTGGAGCGGCCTAACAGCATTGAATGGGCTTGCTACAAATTATTGAGAGAGGGTTGCAGTGACTAGAAAGGATCACAGTCTACTTCTGAGACTTCATTTAAGATGATGACCATGACACCATACATGAGCGTGTTATATTCTAAGATGCATTTCTCTCTCTCTGTTCCTCTGGTTCCGGTGCAAGGATAGGGCGGTTGTTAAGATTGTAAAGTCTAGTTCTTGTAGAGGCTCCACTGAATGTCTCTACTGACTTTTCCCATCTCTCTCACTATCACAAACTTTCCATGGTAATTACCTATTTGACCATTTCCCTCAATATACAATGGGATTCAAATATAGAAATCATGTACTGGGCCACCATACATCCAGAGTTACTCAATCCCAGAAGAAACCCCTTCGTGCGCAAGGTGCAGCCCTTGCTCGCGCTGACCGACCAACTCCGGCTTTTGAGGAGGAGCGGCCAGATGCAGATCAGCACCTTATCCGCATCTTATAAAGCAGGAGAGGGTTCTTTTACACAGAAGATAGAAAAGCTGATATCTGAACCTTTTTAGGTAGTTTTAAACATAATTTTATACATATTTCTCCCCCGGTATGGATATAAGCCACCGAAGGGGCCTGCTGAATTGGTTACTTATATACATGGTTTATTGGTACGTGGACACTGTATATGAGCACGTGATCTTTTACTTAACTTTAGGAATCCCGCATGATTACCTAGATATTTCGTCACAGCTGGCGCTAGACAGGTGGATGGCATCCTCTCCCTTCTGCGTGTTGCTTCGCAATTCGATCTATAACGACGAAGATATATGAACACATTATTCGCCTCAGATAGATTTACAACGCTGTACTGGCACAATGGCTCTCTACGATCGCATCGCCTCGATGAGTGATCACCACCGTCGGATTCTTGCTGATCTCAGAACCGTTGAACATGCACCTGACACGCTAAAATCCCATGATGCCTACCTGTCTGACCTACGTAAGCAACTCGCGCAGACCAGCGACCGCCTCGAGAAGGTTGCAGAGCTTACACAGATCGAACGTGAGGAACATGGGAAATACCGCGATAGTACAATCCGTCGACTCATGTACAGAGCGACTGGCAGGTGGGACGAATTTGAAGAGAAAGCTGACAAAGAGATGCGAGAGTACTACAGTGCCCTCGAGAGAGAGCGTGCGATCAAGGCGGAGAAGGAGATGCTGGAGGCTCAGATCGAGGAGGCAACCGCAGCACGGAAAGAGCTCCAAGCAGCATGCACCGAACGCCTAAGGCTACATGAAGAACTTGAAAGCCTTTATGAAAACCTGTTTGGTGGTCCGACCTCTGAATTTCCTGAAGAAGATGCGCTGGAGGAAGCCACAAAAGCTGCCCAAGCCTGGTATGGTGAGCTCAGCGGACGGTTGAATAACATCTACCAAGCAGCGCAGTGTCTCGCAAAGGCACAGTTAACTGTCAAACAAGCTTTGCTGGATATATATGAAGCGCTGCAGCACTGTCAGACAGATATATGGGGGTTTGGAAGCACTCTTGCCGATTTTGGAAAACAGAACTGCTTGTCCCGAGCCCAGTCGAGAGCTAGCCAGACGCAAGTGCTAGTCTCTCAGGCAGTGAGGCTGGATCCAGACGTGCAGCCTCTCCCTCGTATGAATATAGCACGCGGAAGCATGATAAGTGGCATTCTTTTCGATGACATATTTCTCGACATGAACTGCCTCACGATGATTCAGCAGTCCTTCAATGAGATGAAGAATGTGGAGGTGTTTCTTAGGATGCAGCTGACACAAGCAAAGTCTCGTGAAGCAAATATGCGCACTCAAGTGAGATCAGCCGCCGCTGACCTCGAAAATTCTCAAAGAGAGCTACAGAAGACGAGAGAGCAGATTTTCAGGAATGTCGTCGACCCACCGCCTCCGTATGTAGACAAGACCTCTGGAACACTCCGTATAGACTCTTAGCTGGAGAGCGAAGAATTTCCATACGGGCACGCCGCCGCAGACGCAGGTCCGAGTCTATGTTCAGTGCATCGATTGTGCAATCCCTTCGCTGAACAGCTCTTCAGACCATGTCTAGGTTTCGGACTTTGTCAGATACTAGAAGAGTTACACGGGGCAGCTCAATCGGACCTATGCATTCCCACAGGCAAGCCGATAGCACGCTGTGCAGAACCATTAAGACTGTGAAACCAGTATAGCTGCTCTGGCTCGAGTCATCCCAACGGTATTGACATGATGCAGCTATGATTGGGGCACAGCATGCACCAAGCCAAGGTCTTCATGGTCCATCCAAATCCCTTTAGCGCAAAGTATATTTCAGACTCCAGACTCGTTTGTCTTTGTAATTTACAAGGGCGATCCTGATACCTCTTCATGGACTCTTCACCAATTGTCTGTCGTTTGCGCGCCAGTGTTCAATCGATGACTGCCTCCCTGAATTGGTAATTGTATTCTGTCTCTTGACTCGTAGTCTTTTCCGGTCCTACTACCAATTCACCATGGAAGCCCTGAAGCCCGGAACAGAGAGTCCCAAACCACTATATCCATCGGCTAGATGTTCCCGACGATTCGGAAATGGACAAGCTGAATCTTTCCTCCTGGAAGTGCGTGCCCTCATTGCGCAGTGTTGTGTTGTTGCTCAGCGGGGTTAGACGCTAGAGGCGTGCAGCAACAAATAGTGCTATTTCAAATGACGCCATCTATGTCGTAGCCGGTGTCAGCTTGGTCGTATATTCCGTCACCAGAGAGGGAGGTGTCGCTGCCGTCAAAGAGCGGGCTGGTGGCGAGGTCGTCAGTGTATAGAGGCCAGTTCCGATACCTGCAGCCCCGCACGTTTTTTTTTTTTTTTTTTTTTTTTTTTTTTTTTTT